TATTTATTTGCTGAAAGTGATGGACAACAGAGGGCGCTGTACAAGACCAAAACAGCTCATAACATCTATGGCTTCATGGTGATGAGGGAAGGCAGAGAGAAGAGTAATTGACACAACAATAGATTCAGAATGGAACTTGACAAAACAAAATCAATGCATTGCAATCCCTATCAGATCAAATTGTGTGGTCATTACAGTTACATTTCTCAACCTGTGAGGCCAAGTTATCAAACCATCCAAGGAATGTGTGTTCATCCTTTGTTCTTTCCTTTCTCCTACATCCAGAGATAAATAACTTTGAAAAGTGTGGAAAAATGAATACCAGAAAAGCTGGAATGGTACAAAAGCACACTAGCCCCAACCCAGATGGAAATGCAAACCCATATTTGGACCAAAAAAGTGACTGTAAAAGGTTCTGTTTGGATTATCATGTTTATGCTAACAACTTCTTGGGGGATAAAACCCAGACTGGACAAACAAATTTGGCTGAAGCCCTTTTCATCCGATGACAGACTGGGGCTGGATTGCCCTATGGGTATTGCTGTCAGGAATGAGCAAGTTTTCATTGAGGTCTGTCCTCAACTCAGTGTTTGGCCAAATAGCTGACCAACAAAGTTGTCAATCTCTCATAGGCTAGATGACAGTTTCAGTGTGGCCAAAAGACAGACAATATAGCAGACATGGCATGGCACATTCCTACTCTATAAGTCACTGAAACATGCCAAAGTAACTCCATTGATATGTATTGGAATGCCAAAATGAGGGAAGATTTTTTAGGAGCTTGAATGCTTCCCCATATTAAGGTGGCTACTGACATAAAAGTGAATATATTAATAGAATTAAACAGAACAAAATAGGCATTTCTGCGAGCAAATTCTCAGGGAGGCGATTTTTTTGGGGGGGACTTAAGTATTTCTACGTGTAATGTTTATGATCTTTCTGACAGGTGAGCTTAACTTTGAAGATTTTAATATGCTGTAAAAGAAGAGGAAGTACAATATTTCCAACTTCCTAATTATAACGTTAAAAAGTGTCTGGGAAAAGTTCATTTACCCCCTCCCTGTTTGTAGGGAGCTTTTCACATTAATTTAATTATATTCAGTAATATTTTGTGAAACCAGAGAGAAAGAGAAAAGGAAGGAAGTAGCAGGATCTCCCTGAATAACACTGGGTATTTGTGAAGGGGCTTTCATTTTTCAAACAGCACTTCTTGTTTGCTACAGGGGTGACATGATACTAGGGTGAAGGCTGCAATTTAGCCAGTGTTTCATCACACAAAGTATATGCCCCACAAGCAAAAATTTAGTCTAGGTTACTCGAGAAAATATGTTTTCAGCACTCCCACACTAGCAATTTGACTCAAAGGCTGTCATTCAATGTCAAATCAATCATTCACATGTTTATATAGTAATTAGCTGGTCTCCCAAAAGATAAAAGGGCCATTAGTGAGGCTTTAGCCAGTACTGATGGACAAACTATATCCACAGGTTCCTAGAAATCCAAGGACTTTTGTCCTGGAGCAAATGGTGAAGGTATTTCACGGATATCTCTTTCACAGTCCATTATCAAATATGTCTATAGGCATCACTCTCTTGTACACACATCTGCCAATGGCATTTCCCCTGAAGGTTAAGTATATTCTGTTACTCCAAGGACATTGTTTTATTGATTGGAAAGTAAAATCAAGCTTTGATTGATGCTGGAGAGCACTGAGAATTTGTCAGATTTTTTAAGTGATTGGATCTAAACAATGAGTTACAGCAGTTAATTTACTGGTCTGCATCACCACGGTTTGAAACAATGTTTCTTGTTAACATCCAAAGTGGGGAAAAAAGGACCACAGTCTTCACTGATTTCAGAAAAGCAGGCACATTTGCTAGCTTCAACATCATAAAATATCCCCAGCCAGGAAACAAACAAATCTTTTCCTTGTTCAACAAATATACCTTACAACTTGCAGCCACTGATGGCTTTCAAGGGGGTCTCTGTGGGTCAGGCTTTTGGAATTTTCAAAGGCCATAAATCTGTTCTCTGCACTTTCAAGATTTCAGTTGTTGGGATGGTGGTATCACTCCGGAGAGATGCCATGCTGTGGTTTTAAAGTGATGAGCTGTCTAAATTTAGAAAGTCAGATTGGGGTCATGACACCCAGTTGACCCCTTGACCCCATTTTCACTTAAAAGACCAGCACTATCACTCAGAAACACTGTTTGTTGTCATGAAATTCAAACCAAAGCTATATCTGTCAATATATTATACTTTGGAAAACCACTAAATCCTTCAAGCAATAAGCAATGATAAATCAACAAGCAGCCTACCCATAGGGTATCACTGTGGTAAATAAATGAAGTGATCAAAAGTTAACTCTTTAATTGTTTCCACACTCAAAATGAGATTTTGGTTTTAAAAAAAATCGCATGTTTTAGAGATGTTGATTTTCTTTTTTGGGGGAGGGGGTACATTTGGGTGGCATCGGATAGTAGGGGCATAAGCAGCCTCCTGTCCAGAGATCTCAGTTTACACAAATAATGTACACCATTTAAATGATCTCACAGTGCAGACAACTATGCACGTCAGAGCTTTGCTTTCACTAGTAAACTAACAATGGTCGTGCCATGCAGGCTGACCTCTTGGCCCAAACACTTGCCAGTTTCAATTTTTTTCAATAAAATGAGGTTTTAATTTGACTCTGGAAAAAAAAACTCTCACAGAGTGTCTCTAACCTGTAAATACAAACAAAATCTAAAATAAAAACATCAATTGGTAACTGATTTATGGATCAAGTTTGATGGCTCAATTAACTGATGAATTGATGAAATAATTGATTCAACTAGCAACCTTATGTTTTACTTGCAATCAGTTAAATTCAACTAAATGTTTAATTCTAAATATTCAAGGTGAGGAATTATAACAGTATTTAAAGCCTATCTTTGTTTTAAAAAATTTTAACTAAAAATAATAATTCAAGGATAGACATTCAGGCAGAGGGATGTTTTACATCTTTACATTTTAGTCAAAAAAGCACCACAGATCAGGAAGCATAGTTCACAAAGCTTATGTTTCTGAAATACAACAGAGGGCGCTATACCTTTTCCACTGTGGAAGGGGTTTCCCAGAGTGCTGTGGCTCTGGGCTCGGGATCTCGTCATGTCCTTACCAAGTATCATTCCCAATTATACTTGGAATGGTCCAAACTACAGTGCTGCAATCAGTTGGCCCATGCAGTGTGACTAACCCAATTACACTGGGCAAAATTCTACGCGGAATTTCATGGGCTTTCTCCAAGTTTTTGCAGCTAACAGTTAACATAATTCATCCAAAACGGCATTTCATCCATGATACATACAAATTAGAACCAGTTTCTGCAAGCATGTGTTTTCTAATATGAATGATGTTTGCACATGCTATGGCACACACTTGCAGTCTGTGCAATAGTTAGGCTAGCCCAACTGAGGTACTCTAGTTTGGACTGTCGCTACTCAGTATAGTTTAGATGTCCAAACTACCTGTACATGTATAGTTCTGACAGATGCTTCAATTCAGGAGTAAGAATCCTACAGAGGAGATGGGGCTTTTTAGAAGGCCACAAAAGATACATCATTGTACAAAAGCAGTCAAACACTAAAACAAAATGGTGTAAATTAAACTGAAAACTAAAGTGAAACTGAACCCAGAGGTTCCAAGGAATTGTAATAAATAAACTTCCCACACCTCACAGATTCACCAACTGTGAATCCAACATAATCGCCTTTAAGGAATTTAGTTTCTATTGAGAAGAGTGAATTTACTTGGATCGGTCAAATCAAGGGATCAGTGAAAAAGGCAAAATAGCTTTATTAACTTGGAAACAGATTACCTTTTTATATTAATGATTATCTAATAAAGTTATATTTTAAAAAAGGATGTTGGCCTATGGTGTGCACCCCTGCCAAATAGGGTATGAAAAGTAACTTTAAACAAAATGTTTTTCTAAAACGAAGATAAAAAGAGAGGTTACAAGAAAGAGCATATTTTTTTCCTGGATACATTATTAATCCACTGCACATATGATTACCCACTTGTTTCTGCAAATCGTTACCCAAATCCATCAGCAGTTTTTGTCAAGATTCCTTCATTAATACATTCTATACAATAACCCCATGGGTCTTCAATACCATACTCCTAAACTGAGTTCTCACTAACAGAAGAATGTTGGCTTAGCAACGGGAAGCTTAGTATGGATTGCAACTGTGTTTGGACAGCTACCACTCTGTCAAAACTGAAAGGTTTGTTGCACTTTGACAGTTGGTGGATGCATCCTTTTCATCAGCTGAAGGCCACAAGCCTAATTTTCCAGCCAGTCAAGCATACTTTACTTCACCCCTTCCTGAACAAAAATGGATGGGAGAGGCCTGGAACTAAACTTGATTTAGGTGTAAATTCTGGGTGGAAATAAGGCATCCAGCAAAAGGAATGGATGCATTCACCACCAAAGTACAATAAACTTTCTGTGCTTGACAGAATTAATTGTTGCTTCTCCAATGGTCTGCCAGCATTCCCACACTGACATCGGTAAACAAAAACAAAATTACTGCATGATATAATCAGTGTTGTATTTGAGTCCATCACACATCCTTTCACAAGTCCAGTCACAAGTCCTTTGACTAGGCCAATCTTAGGCATGAGGGTCACAGCTCATTTGAACAGCTTTTGAATTGGCTTAAGACTGGATGACTTGTGATGGACTTCCAGGGACTTGCAGGGACTTGTGATGGATTCAAATACAACCCTGGAAATAATATATCTAAAGTTAGGAACACAGGCCTTTAAATAACTAAGAAGTCATATTGACAAAATTGCCTATTTTGTTTACTCATGTACCAACCCCCCCATTTCCACCCTCTTCAACATGAATCTCATTTTCATCTGAAATCATTCATCCACATAAGACCACTTTCTCTAATTTTGTTTTATGTGTTTACTTTCTTCAAGAATTTTTTCTTCCATATTTTTACCTACAGCAGATGGACTAGTTATTACAACTCGCCCAACCAACCTCAGACAGATTCAGCTAAAATGTCTCCATGGAATAACATTCAAGATCACAGGCGGCAGTAAATAAGGTTTGGGCAAGTGGTTATGCCGTAATTTTTAAAAGGTCTGGTGTGGTTTCAGTTTCCCAAGCGGGGCTAGTGGGTTCATGTAAGATCTTGTAACTGAGGGTCAAAGGTAGAGAAGAGGGGCATATCTATGGAGACAAGAGGGCGTGTGAAAAGCACAAGACATGTCAGACAGGCAGACTGGACAAAATAATGCAGGGAATCAAGACTGAAATAAATCACAAGTTAGAGATAAAAAGGAGTACCGGTACTGATGGAGCATATAGTACAGTGTGTCCTCTGAAAAATGGTATTTTCCTTTAGCGATCTGCAGATATGCCCCAGTAAATGCAGGCGCTCAAAATTAAGATTGTGGCAGTTTTTCAGTGAAAAGGGCCACTCAATGTTTTAGTGCTTACAGCTCTATCAAAATCTTCTTAGAGATCAAACTGTATAAAGATGGAATGTACATTTTGCTTTTTCAATTAGGTCGAGTAATCAGACAAGAAAAGCATAATCAAGCTGAGAATGTTTGTCTTTATAAAAAAAATAAGTTGTCCAAATCACAAGTTGACATACACAAAGACAGGTTTTGCTTACCCCAAGCTTGTTGGGGGATACTGAAAATACTTTTTGCATTACGAGTCCCTTTGAATTTAAAAGACTTGCAATACCTATATGTGGGCAGATGCTTTTAGGCCAGAGTTCACAAACAATTCCAACTGCATTGTTGTTTAGTGCTGTTCTGTGGAGGGAGATGGCAAAAATTTGGACAATATACATTGTACATGTAGTAAGTAACAAATGTTTCAGTATGGCACCTCTGGGCCCACAAACGGGAAAATAAACAGAAAAACCATACCAGATACCTTCTAAACCATCTTTCAACAACCAAACCTCATTTGAAACCAACTCTAGATCTGCCTATGATCTTTATTTTCAGAATTCTATCCTTCTTTCATTTGTTGAAAAATTCTGTAAAACCTGTGGGTTGTTCAGCGTGTTCTACAATCCTATGAAGAGTAGACAAAATTATGCAAAGCCATTCCTCAGACAGATAATTCTCTTTTACCTGTAAATCAAAGTTTTTTGTCATATTAACTTGCAATATGTGAAAAAAACAAACAAAATCAAACACACGAACAAAAATATAACAAAAAGAACAAAACAACACTGCTGAAAAAAATCTCTAAAAATGTCTTTTTGGGAAGATAGCCTGTTTCTAATGAGCGCTTTTCTGCCACCATTGGTATTTAAGGCAAAAGGCATGACTTTTGGAGTCACGATGAACTAATACCTAGTAAGTCTCCTTTGAAGTAGTGAATTTAATGAAAATCCTGGATGGATTGACACTTATTACTTTTCAAATGTATACCTGGGATGTTATGGAACATCTCTCCATTGTCAAGCACCCACTTCTGTTGTTCAGTTCAGTTGCTTGCCATTTCCTTAGTCTATTTTGCATAATTTGTTATAGTATCACTTCAATAACATCATCGATGCTGGTGTTGTTACTGCAGAGCCATTCTTTCAGACTTTGCATTGTGGAATTGAAAAGCACTGATGCAGGTTTATTGTTTTAAGTATAAAATATTTCAAATGTGTTTCATTGATTCACAACAACTTGCCAATCTGGCTAGAGGCTATACACGAATGAATGACCCAAATTTGTCTGTTATCACAGAAATCTGAGAAGTCGTTCAAAATAATCGTGGGTGTACAGCACGACTCACATGGTTTCATCTCATAGTACACAGAGTCTCTCAATATTAAGATAAAGTACAGTGTCTATGACAGCCTTGATTCTAAACAACAAAGAACTGGAACACTGTACCTGGGAGGTGAATGCCAATTTAAATGCTGAACCTAACAAACAGCTTTCCTGGCCAGATTTTCTTCTTAAGAAATGGCCTACGGGAAGATGCACGTTAGATACTAAAAAGAGAGTATTCTTAAGGGGAACTGTGGCTACTGACCACAAGATGTTCCAGCATGACAGTGTATCATGAAGTGGGTTTGTTCACAGCTGAAGCTTTAAGTTGAGCAGTGATGGTATTTTCAAATCCTTATCTGCACAGGAGGTTTTAGTTTAAATATTTTTGAATGGATTGTGAGCTTCTTGATACTTTACTTCACTCACCCACTCATTTTGATAGATGTCAATTTATTAACAACTTTTTTCTTCAGAGCTAAACCTTTGGTAGATTGTGGAGTTTTCTGAGTACCATTTAATTGTTTTCTGAAGGCTTGGTGGTTAAAGATAAGAAAGGGGTCGGTCCAAGACAAACATCCTGTCTTGTCTATTGTCAAATCCCCTTGGATTCATGTCTAAAAATGGCTGTTTTGTGGCAGCGCACAGACAAAATTAAATGATTTAAGAGGTTACATTTTTGCCTGAGTATTTTGAGGTTATCATATCAAGTACAACTTCTACTTCAGAAAACCACACGCTGTGCCATCATATTTTAAACTTTCAGACCAATTAAGCCCTTATTTGTTCCAGTTATGAATATATTTAGCAAAACTAATAAATAGCCAAAGGCCAAATTTCATGCAACACAGGCTATGTTAATGCTGATTGATTCCCAGCTGATGTTTCCTTTGTACATTGATAAATCTTTATTTAGCTTCATAAAATGCGGGTCAAGCTCAGAGTGAGAAGTTAGGACAGACAACATGCAACACAAATACGGGTAATTCCAGAAATTAGGGGTCCACTTTTTTTGGTGTCCCTATCATATCTGACATATGAGTTCGGAAGACATTCTCTATTTTTCCAAGAGTGATGAATTAATGCAAATTACTTGCCGAACAAATAGTAATAGTTTGAAATCTATCCCGGTGATATTTCCATGTCAAATATTAAAGGTCGGATGTAAGAGGGACACAAAAATGTCCCACTTTTGGACCTCTAATTTCTGGAATTTGGTATACCAAATCTTCATTTAGTAGAAATTATCCCAATTTCTAGTTGGAAAAGAGGAAAACTTAAAATCTCCTATTGTTTTGTCTCTATTCAGACAGACAAACTGATGCTCAACCCCCATTTATTAGTAAATTTAATCTTATTATTTTAGGAATTGAAAGCTGTCAGAGTCTTGATACTCTCAGTATTAGGCATTTGAAGTACAATTTATTGTACCAGCACAAACATCTGTATTTAAGATTATATTTTTGATATCAGTTTACAAAATTTAGTCTACCTTACCTTGTACTTTTTGGGCTTTGCACCCATACTCCATCCTTTACTCCGTTCAGTGTCCGGAGAGCTGAGGGGTGATGATCTTGGACTTCTTCCCTCGGTTGGAGAGTTCTCTCCAGAGCGTGTCACCCGGATTTTGGGCACATGGCCCGACCAGGCAGAGGCAGGGGAGGAGGCAGCTCTGGGTCTCATGTCTGGGGAAAGATCACTCATTCCATCCATGGACACTCCCAGGTGGTGATGGCTGGTGCGTGGGGTGACCATGGCCAGCATACGACGAAAGAGAGGTCTTGGGGAGGGGGAGCTTGGTGAAGTCTGCCCCTCATCTTTCACAGAGTCCCGGCTCTCAGCCATCTTCAGGCTGGCTTGTTGTCTGTTTCTCCTGGAGGAAGGAGAGAACAGACAGAAACATTTCTGCTTAATGGAACTCATTCCAGACACCCTCGAAAATCAATATTGGGAGAGAGACTTCGAACAAATTGTCTTCCTGGCAAGGTTGGACAGGACAAAAACACCTATTGCAGCACGCTCGCACTATTGACTCTAGACTGACTGGTTATAATTGCACTCACAGGGAAATTTGGTCTTTTGCAAGGTGAGGTTACAGGCAACCATGTGGAAAGCTCGTCAGCCTCTTCATGAGGGAATCATCAGGATCTATTCATGCTCCAATGGAGCACTGGATTGACCTCTTCCCAACAACTGTTAACCCCATGCTGTTTGAAATTTGACAAATTCATTTTTGCCTTCCTGTGTTCCTCTAGCTTCAGACACAACTTGATTGAGATTACAGATGCCTTTTCCAAAACAACAAAATATTACTAGTATAATGCAAAGCTTTATACTCTAACTAACTGGGTCCTCTTGAAACAGTTGCTCATTGTTTAGGTTTAGCACAAGCACTCATGACTGGAAACACGTTTTCACGAGGAAACACATTGTGATACTACACCCAACAGCTTTTGTAAGCAAAGGGGATGCTTTCAATCTATACCATTGGGAAAGTCATCAACAAACATCAGCTTATGAGTAAAAGATAACATGTTTTCAAATGGTAAAATGACATGCTTTATAAAGCAAACTTGATTTTTGCCATTTTATATTCTCAATTGCAGATTTTCCAGCATGCCAATTAGCACACTATTAACAATAGTAATGATCAGGCATTATGAAAAAAATTGGAATCTCTAACTTGCAGCTCTCAAATTGAAATTTAAAGATATCACTTGATTTAAATTCAAAGCTGTTTAATGCCTAAACACTAACGTCGCTGAATTACTTGCACATGCTCTCTTACACTGTAGAAAATAATATGTGAATGAAAGGACAAGCATCATATTCAAAAGATGTGGAAAATGTATTATGATTGGATATCGGCCAATTTGTTAAGGAAAAAACAAAACATTAGTGGTGTAAAGGCTACAGCAATCTTGCCATACAGAATATACAAGACAATAATAGCAAAAACTGTCAATTAAAGCTCTATGCACTAGAGTCCTTTTAAACTTCACAAAGTAATAATGATTCTCTTTTAAAAAATGGAAAAAAATATTTGCATTAGAAAAAAAGCAATCAGAATTTTGAAATGCCATCTCGTAAAAGTAACTACCTGTATGCATGAAGCGTTTAAAATATTACAGAGATGGTGGAATAAACACACATATACATATGTTCCCTTGGGTATTTATGGATTTCTCGCTTGTTGTGAGGTTGTTATTCAGGCTAAAGCCAATACAGCATCAGCCTAGGGCAAGAAGAATCAAAGGATATGTACATGTACATGTATGTAAATCCATCCTAAGCAGATTGCAGAATCATCACCTGCACAGCTAACAATGCATGTCTTGTATCACGTATAACAGCCTTAAAAATGCACGCTTTGCTTAACTTTTTTGCAAAATCTACACAACAAAAATTGATTGAGATATCACATGCTCCACCATTTGTAATCTAGCTTACATGCATCTTTTAAATGTTACTTTTTAAAGCCACATTTAACAAATTTATT